CGCTCACCTGGCTGGAATCTGCCCCACAGGCTTCCACCAGCCCAGGTGACAGGAAGTCCTAGGGATGCAGAGCAAGCTCTGAGGTGTTCTGAGCTGTGCAGTCTATGGAAACCCTACCCACATCAGATGTCTACACTGTGAGCAGAGGGCCCGTCCTTGGAATGCTGGCCAGAATGGGAATCCTCGCAGGTACAAACACATTCCAAAGAACTAGCCCAGGCCATTGCAGCAAACTTTTTTGTGTGTGTATGGTACTGGGGTTTGAACTCAGGGCCTACACCTTGAGCCACTCCACCAGCCCATTTTTGTAATGGGGTTTTTCAAGATAGAGCTTCTCAAACTATTTGCCTGGGCTGGCTTTGAACCTCGATCCTCCTGATCGCTGCCTCATGACTAGCTAAGATTACAGGTGTAAGCCACTGGCCTGCAGCAAACATTTTTGCTTTCCTAAACGGTGCTGAGTGACACCCCATCCCCCAGCAGTCTGCTGTCTGCCGGGTGTGCGAAGTCGTTTCTTGGGTCTTAACATTTCGGATCAGTCTTAGCATTAAGTGATGACAAATTCTGGAAGTTCCAGAAGAAAGAACACTCAAACTGCTAAAGAAGCATGTTCCTGTAACAGAACCACTTCTCCATAAGGCCACTGTGTGTGTGTGTGTGTGTGTGTGTGTGTGTGTGGTTCACGGGTATTTCATTACATAATTATGGAACTCAGTACCAAGTTTACTGCACAATGGAAATGAAAACCACCATTGGTCAAAATCGTAAAGGAAAAGAGCCAGAACAGGTGAAGAAAATATGGATACTGAAAATGACAACATGGAGATGAGACATGGGTACTCCCCCAACAGGAAGCAAAAAAGCAGAAGGAAAAGAGGAAGGAAGCAGGAAACCACCACGTGTCCAGCCACCGGGACAGAGGGAGGGTCAGCAGCACACTTGACTTGTGTAAACACCTCGGTGCTTTGTTGTACGTATCACCCCGAGCAGTTTTGCCAACAATATTTACTTATTTTTATTCTGGTTGGTTCTAGGGTTTGAACTCAAGGCCTCATCCTTGCTAGGCAGGCACTCTACCACTTGAGCCACTCTGCCAGCCTTTTTGTGTAGAGAATTTACAAGATGGGGTCTTGCCAACTATTTGTCCAAGGCTGACTTTGAAACCGTGATCCCCCTGATCTCTGCCTCCCGAGTAGGTACTATTACAGGCGTGAGTCACCGGCACCTGGCCCCATTTATACATTTTTACTTTATTTTTTAATTTTTAATTTTTTGGGGCAGTACTGGGGTTTGAACTTAGGGCCTTGCACTTGCCAGGCAGGCGCTCCACCACTTGAGCCATACCCCAGCCCTTTTTGCTTTCCTTATTTTTTGAATAGGGTCTCCCTTTTATGTTAGGACCATTTCCTGCATAGCTGGGATGAAAGGAGTGAGCCACCACACCCAGCTTTTTATTAGTTGACTTGGCAGGGGTTGGCTCTCACTCACTTTTTGCCTGGGTTGGCCTTGAACCAGCAATCCTCCCAATTTATACCTCCTGAATAGCTAGGATTATAGGTGCAAGCCACCTCCCCTGGTTTATTTTATATTTTATTTTTGAGACAGGGTCTTGCTATGTAGTCCAGATAGCCTTGAACTCACAGTCCTTCTGCCTAGACCTACTGAGTGTGGAAGTACAGCCATGTAGCATCACACCTGGCTTTCTCAAACCATTTTGAGAAGTGGTTTTGAGAGGATTTTTTTTTTAAATAGTAAAACTGTGATGTTTAGCCTATTCCAAGTCTAAGCACTGCCTATGTTGTTTTGCTCATATAGTCCTTTTGTCTGTCTGCATGTATGTGTGTGTGTGTGTGTATATATATATATATATATATATATATATATAGGGGTTTGCTAGGCAGGTGCTCTACCACTTGAGCCATTCTGCCAGCCCTTGCTTGCATTTCTGAGACTGGATCTTGCTGGGTAGCTCAGGCTGGCCTTGAACTTGTGATCCTCCAGCCTCAGCCTCCTGAGTGCAGGGATTTCAGGCATGCACATCACACAGGCTTGGGCCACACCTACACTACATAAGCACACGGGAGGTCCCTTCTTGAAGGACAGGCAAAATGAACAGAATGTCCTGTGGTGAAGGGTGAATTCTCAACATAGAAGTCCGGTTCCTTTACTTCCTGATTAACGGGAAATGCTGGAACAGGCGAGGACGAAGGTTCCTAGGAGGCCGCTGGCAATCTACCGTGCAGAACACCAGTCTCAGCACGGGGGACAGGAGGCTGTGCAACTCAGTGCAGTGGCAGTCATGGCAACGCCGCAAGTGACTGACAAGGACTGGGGCCCCTCCCTGCCGAGCAGAGACGGAGAGGCTGCTCCTCCTTCTTCGCCGTCCGCCTTCTTGGCGGTGCCCCGTGTCGTGTGGCTGGGCTCGGACCCAAAGCTTCTCGTATCGGGTGGGAATGGAGGGAGGCAGTCGCGGCCACGCGCACGAACGCGCTCCGCGTGCCCGCTTTCCCCGGTCGCCCGCGCGTTCCTGCGCCCGCACTGCAGCTGCGCATGCGCGAGCCCCAGCGAGGTGAAGGGGCGGGGCGAGCAGCACGTGGCTGCGCCCACGTGACCAGCACTCCGGCCCCGCCCGCCTCCTAGCCTGCTGCCGGGAGCTTGCCAGGCTTGCGACCTACCAGACTGATCCTGCTGGGGTTGGAGCCGGTGTTCGTGTCCCGACGACCGCGAGTTCGATGTCTGCACTGCCCACCTCCGGAGGATCCGCCCCGCTGGCACAGCGCGGTTGGTTCCCTCATGGCTAGTGACGTCACCTGCCAGCAGGTGGCTGCCCCTCCCCCAGTCCATGGGCCCCCAGCCAGGGCGGTCTTCGTGAGAAAACAGGAGTCGGCGTCGTCAGCTCTGGCACGTGTACTTTCCCGGTCCCATAGCGCTTAGACCGGCTTCACCACGGGGCTGGCTGGAGAGAAGTGACAGGCATCTGTCCCGATTGAAGCTGTCCAGCAGCGGGGACCTGCCTTTTCCAAACTTCGGGCCTGTTGCAAGAAGTGCGCCGCCTGGGCTGGCAGAGTGGCTCAAGTACTAAGAGCGTCTTAGCGGGGGTGGAGCCCTGAGTTCCAACCCCATACCACCAAAAAAAAAAAAAAAATGTATTGCCGCCGCTCATCCTTTGCACCGGTCCTCCAGTCTGGCCAGCCCTGGGCCACTACCCTCTGGCGATGCTCAGAGGCTTTCCCAGCGGCCACCTGCCACCTCAGAGTGTCCTGTGAGGCACATCACATCATCAGCCTGGCTGAGGTCCTCACCCAGGTGGAACTCTGGTGCCCGAGTTCCTAAACAGCTGACTTTGAGCCATCCCAACCTGGTCCACCCTGCAGTGCCCTGGCAGCTAGTGCCCCAGCGAGAGAGTTTACACATCTGGGTTTAGAGTCCTTCCCTGCAGTGCTTGAAGATGTCTTCTGCTGCACCTCGGGGAAGCCCCCACCTTTCCCTCCGTTGACACTATCTGCAAGTCAGAGGGCCAGAGAGCTAAGGGCTGCAGCAGTGGGAGGACTGGCAAGGTGACACAGCAGGCAGGGAGAGGCTGTGTTCCTCAGTCCTCTCTCCCCCGTGACAGCCCTGGCTCCTGCTTGGTGGCTGACTCTATCCGCTCCAGCTCTCACACGGTCCAGGAACAGCCCCACCCTTACCTGTCCAGCCTCACTGCTGTGGTGCTGTGGGGCTCTGGCTTCCTTTGACCCTGCTCATAGGAATTTCACTGAAGGATGGAGTGCAGCTCAGTGGTAGAGCACTGCTTAGCATGTAGAAGCCCCTGGTCTCCATTGCCAGCATTGCAAGAAAAAAAAAAGAGCCAGGTGCTCATGACTGTAATCCTAGCTACTTGGAAGGCTGAGATCTGAGATAGGAAGAATCATAGTTTGAGGCCAGCCAGGGCAAATAGTTCAGGAGACCCTGTCACCAAAATAACCAGAGCAATTCCCCCACCTGCCTCTCCAGGTCCACAGGCTGGCAGCAGCCCCACAGCAAGGCCCAGCGGTTCCTGGTCCCATGGTGTAACGGTCAGCACTCTGGATTCTGAATCAAGTGATCTGGATTTGAGTCTCTGAAGAAACTACTTTGCCCAGCAGTGGCCCTTCTGTTCCCCTGGAGGGCTTCCAATTGGTCCGCCTCCCTTGTGTCCTCTGGGCCGACAACCCCACTTTTGAGTCTACCCCTCTGGGCCTCCAAGGGGGTGCTGAGAATCTGCCCACCCACGGGGGCTCCCTCCAGGTGAGGAGCCATAGGGCGGGGCCTCCTCCCCTCTCCAAAGGGACCCACACTTAGGATTTCTGATCTTTCCCTCCTTCCTCCAATCCCCCACTAGGGGCTGAGCCCAGGGCCTCAAGCACCTTTTTCTTTTTAACCCCTTTCCCCTCTAGACCAAAGGGAGCTCATACAGTCTGTATTGCTCTAAGACTTCCTCACCAGTGACAAGAAACCTGCTCATGTACTGACAAATGCTTTTTCAGTTCCATTGGCGACTCTGAGTTGGCACCAGATTGTTCACCCTCTGCAAACGCAGCAGTGCCACCCTATGTGCACCCGTGAGCTGCTGCACTGTGGGAAGATCCCTGACAGTGAACTTCAGATTCCTCTTTCAACCTGCAGCATGACTGCCACATTGCCAAGCGTAGGGAGTCGTTCAGGTGTTGAGCACCTGTCTAGCAACTGTGAGGCCCCGAGTTCAAACCCTAGTACTTCCAAAACAAAAAATTAAGGACTGGTGTAGTGGCTCATGTCACTTTTTTTTTTTTTTTTTTTGGAGACAGGGTCTCACTATGTAGCCCAGGCTGTCCTTGAACTGGAGGTCCTCCTGCCTCAGTCTCCTGAGTGCTGGATTACAAGTCTGAAGAACCATGCCTGACTCCTGATCCCAGTACTAAAAAAAAAAACACCACTTGCCCATCTATTGGACAAAAATAAAACAATTCATATTTCAACCTAAAGATAAGGCTTAAGCCCTTTCACATATACTTTAGTATAATTTTGGGCCATGGGTCCCAGTTCCCTCAACTGACACATCTGCCCTAGACTTGGAAGTTGAGGGTCATATGTCCACTGTAGGCCATGAGCTTAGGAGCCTCAGGCCAGCAGGGAGGCCAGAGACACCTTCAAAGTCAGCCACCACCAAGGGCCTGCCCTGGTTCCACACTGAGGATGCACCAAATGGTGGAACAGGCAACAGTGAGTGAGTTCCACCCAAAGCTGCAGCAATGCTAAGGAGTGGAATGGGGAGATGTGTGCACTGGCGTTAACCAGCCAAGCACTTGGGCCAGGGAGGACCAACTGAGAAATTGGGTTCTGCCAGCCAGACCACAGGCACTGAGAAGCAGAGGTTCTCTGAGATGGCTGGCACGCACACATGAACTCTCCTCAGAAACGCAGGCCCTGTATACACAGCAGCAACAGAACTCAGGCAGCTGTGCTCTGTGCGGCAGTGGGCACAGGGTGGATGTGATTATGGGCTCATCTTGTCACCCTCATACCTGGACTGGCCACATCCACCAGCAGTGTCCAGGCAACTCACCCCAGATGGCAACCGTTGGCTTCCCTTCTTACCTGCTGCTGGCATCGTGTGGGTTTTAAGGAACGAAAAGACGGGCACTGCACGCACTTAGGCAGAAGCAGAATGCACAGGGCCACAACCCAAGTTAGCTATAGGGAAGGCCTTGTATCCCAGTGGCTGCTGTAGCCTGTGTGATGATGCTACCAGGAAGGTGGTTCCTCCACACCCAACTCCCAGCTTTAGGCCTGCTGAGCATTTTCTCAAAGGCAGACAGGACTGCTCCCCACCCTGCACCAGGGAGGGACTTGGGGCAGGTTACCTAAGCTCAGGCAAGGTGAGGGAGGTTACACTGTATGATGTTCCCTCAACTCCACACTCAAAACCCTCTTCCACTGTTTATTCCATAATCGGGGACAGACACCAACCATATACAGAGTGAAAGCAAAAAAATAAAGTTTAACACAATATGTGCAGTTATGTACAGGTTCACAGGTACAACACAACAGAAGATAAGGGTGATCCACTGTGCTGAAACTCACAACACTGAAGGGTCAAGGTCATCAAACTGTAAGTGCTTTATGAAACCACCCTGGGCCTGCTCAGGTATCTCCTCCCAAGTGAACCCCAGTGTGTCTCAGGGTTCTATGGACTCTATGACTGGGCAGCCCTCTGCTTGTGGACACACTGCTTCTCCTGTCTTTAAGGCAAGCTCACACTAACAGTGCAGTGATGCTGGATGGATGTTGTCACTGAGCACACTGAGGGCTTTGTGGAGCTGAAGGGATGAACCAGGCCCACTTGTGTTGGAAGAAAGTCCTGTTAAGTTGTGGGAGGCAGGACATGAGGAGGCCGCCTCACCCGTTCCAGGGTCAGTGGGGCCTTGGCTCCCTCTTACCATCCTGTGAGGGTCCTATAAGCTGGGATCTGTCCCATGACCTCATGGCCCAGCAGGTAGCCCTCATGATCTCTACTCCGCTTGCTTCATTTTTTTGCATGCTGGGGACTGAACCCAGGGCCCCCACATGCTATGCTGTGCTCTTCTTGTGAGGTCTGCCACCCTCACGGTCAATCTTTTGAGTTCAACTCAAAGACAGTCCACAAGGTCGAGATGGGGCCTAACTCAAGTCACCAGTGCCCACGTGACCCTACAGTGTTTGTGTGAGATCCCAGGAGGGTGGTGGATGCTGCACACTGGTGACTGTAAAAAACATGACCTACTGTCAACCAGAATTTAGTTATTTTCAGAAATGTACATAACTGAAGATAAGAGTCAACTGGGCAAGGAAGTTGAGCCTGTGTACTACCTGCCTGACAAACCCAGAGGCCAGCAGGTGGCCACGGCAGCCTGGCCCAGCTGGCACCCTCCATTTTATAGCGATCATCTGAGGTGTATGGATCTTCACCCGGGGGCCTTCACTCTTCCAGGATACTTTTTGTGTGTGTGTGTGGGGGGGGAGGTTAAACCTAAAAGACAGTGGTCTGTCTCCATCCTCACTCTTTGGGATTTTACTCATAATCTTAGAATTCAAAGGTACTTAGACCAGGGAAGCGCCTCTCCCACGTGAAAACATTTCACTCCCATGCACACTTTGAAGATAGCACCATGTGAAACTGTGTGTCCCAGGAGAGGCAGAGAACTCTGAACACCAAAGTGACCTGTTCAGTTGTCTCTTCAAGTGCCAACACCACACACTCAGAGGGGCCCTCCTGTCCTCCCTGGCTGTCACCACTTCATGTCCAGGCTGTCTGTGCAAGGCTCTGGGGTCTGGTATGTGGTGTGTAGCACTTGCTGGACTTTGGGGGAGTCAGTGCCTTCCAGCCACTCCTGGTATAGCTCCTGCACGTGTGCACTGCTCTCTGGACGCTGCACGGGAATGTCAGAGTAGATGCCTTCCATCTGCCGCAACAGGGCCTTGTCAGCATGCCCATCCTCCGTCTGTGCTTGGCCTCTGCCATTTAAGCATCCTGAAAGACACACAGGTGAGCCTCTTCTCTCCCATGGGACAATCAGTCTCAGGAAGCTTCACCTCAATGGGAGACAGTCTGGGGGCAGAAGAGCAATAGCTGAACCTTGACTGGGGCTGTTCAGGGGTCCACCCAGGCTTGGAGCCCCAGGTGCCTTTTATTCTTACCATTTATATTCTCCATGACTGGCTTTACCTACAGCCTAACAAGCTGCTAACTTTTTGGAACAGGCAGCTTGGTCTGCAGCGCTGGAGTCCTGGCTTCCCCTGGGGCTCATCCAAGCCTGGAGAGCATGGAGCCTCTGACGGCTTCGTGCTCCTCTTGCCCGCAGTATTCTGGTGTCCGAGCGTGGGCTGCACCAGGGCCAGGGTGAGCCCACCTAATGCCGCCTAAATAAACACCTGCCTCCCATCTGTCACTGCCACTCACTCAGGTGTTCAGGTTACGTGAACATCAGCATCAGGATTCATGAGAGATTAGATCGGGGAAACCTCCACTGACCGGGAGACCCAGCAGCTGGACGGCCCACTCCCTCTTCCTCAGACCCCAGTCCTACACACTGCCCAGAGTACAGCCATGCAGTGCCAGGGTCCTGACACCCCAGCCATCTCCTCTCTACTCCCCACTTGGCCACAGACTCTGCCCTCCTTAGCCCCCAGTATGCAAAGCCCACACTTGCCCCAGCCCTCACCCCTCTTCAGCGTGGGTTGGCTCTCCAAACCCCAAACCCCCCTCCTTTCCAAGATCCTTCAGTTCATGGGACCAGGACAAGAGGAGTCTCCTCTGTCCATGCTCTCCAAGGTTCCCACCCTTGTCCTGTGACTCCATTCCTCACTAGCACCTCATCTGCCCACCTGAGAGCTCCTCTGTTACCTCCACTTAAATATCTCACCTGTCCCAAACTCAGAACGACAGACTTCCCTGGGTCCTGAGGCAGCTCCATCATACCCAAAGGTACTCATGGCCCCAGTGCTCCCACTTGCTGCAGCAGCAGGTCCTCCTGGGGATCTGCCCTGTCCTGGCTCTGACCTATCTAGAACTCTCCTCCTGGCAGCAGGGGGAGTCCCTAGAGTACAGGTTGCATTGTGCCCTTTCCTGCCACCACCTTTCATAGGGCTCCCAACAGAAGGAGCAGTCAGTCCACACCAGGGCCTCACAAGCTGCTCTCAGCTGGTACCACAGGGGGCTTCCACGAAGCACCTCCCCAAGGAAATGTTTAAGGTTGAGTGTCACCATCCACTGTCACACTACACAGTGAGGGGAAGAGGGGAGCTTTGCAGTTGAGGATGGTGTACCCCACCCAGCAAGGCCTTTGGTGGATAGGCCCCAGCACCTGTGGCCCTGCTCAGTCAGGCTCTCCACTGCTTACCTCTGGGACATGCAAGGACTTCCACAAAGTGGTATGGGCACTTGCCCTTCTTGAGCTTCAGGACCATGTTCTGGATGTTCCGAAAGCCATAGGCAGCAGCAAAGCGCAGTAAGACCTCCCCATTCTTCTCAAGGGTGACCTCGTGGAAGTCTTTGTTTCTACAAATATCATGGGACTTAACACTTGGTATTCTATTAGTAGATGAAGATCAGCTTTTTTTTTCTTTCTTTCTTTTTTCTTTTTTTTTTTTGAGACAGGATCTCACTATGTAGCCCACATTTGCCTTGATGCCTTTGAATTAGTGATCCTCCTGCCACCACCTCCTGAGTTCTAGGATTACAGACATGTACCACCATGCTCAGTCATTTTGCAATTTAAGTTTGGAATGTTAGTCAGATAAAGTCAATGGATAGACACATAAAAGGCCCTGCCATTGTGACTGGTCTAGGCTCTCCTGCACAGCTACAATACAACCCACACACATGCCACAAACACATCACCCACTCAGCACACACATACACACATCACCCATGGCAGCACACACCATGTGCACATACTGCTGCATACTGGCTCTGGTCAACCTGGCATTGTTGCCTGCAGGCACATCAGTGCCCGCTCATACCTCAGTGCACGGTAGGTGATTTCCTCCACATGTTCACCGAACAGCTCCTTGGCAGCATGTCTGAAGACATGGGCCAGATGCCCGTCTGAGCCCACTCCATCGTGGCGCCGCACCACTGCCTCCTTTACATCTCCAAACCTCAGCAGAGAGGACAAGACCTCATTAATGTCGATGAAGGGGGAGCAGGCACTAACCTAGTCTCCGAGGGTGTCTCCTACAGATACATTCTACAGAAACTTTTACTGCGCTTCAGTGATCAACATGAAGTTTCATTTTCTGTATAAAGAGACAGCTGTGCTTTACTTTGGCTCATTCATTTACTTCTTCTCGGGAAAGAAGACTAAGTGTGACTCGAGCATGTGCCTCCCTGCCCAGGCCAGGATGAGGGCCTTGGTCAGCCAGGGCCTAAGCACAGACACTAGCAGCAGGTACTACGTTGCTGAAATTCTATAAACTTTATTCTCAGCTCCCATAAAAGGGGCACAAATGCAGCACCCAGGTCATAGCTGCAAGCTGTATGTGGCCTTCTGTGCTTGCCCTTGTCCTACCACTCACAGGGGAAGCCCACTGAGTCCCTGCAGTCCTGGTGGAGGGCTGTCCCCACCAGGGTCCTTAGAATCCAGTTCTAAGGCTGAGGGCTGGCCATGGGGGAATCACGTCTCAGTGCTCACAAAACAGAGAATCCCTGGAACAGCCAACAGAGGCCCGGCCCATAAGAGGACCCTCCCTGCTGAAACAACTTACAGAGTGTCCACAGCGGCATCTTTCACTGAGAGGTCACTTTGCTCCATCATCTGAGCAACTTCACCTAAAGACAAACAAGAGACACAGGTACTGTGAAAGGGCAGGTGGAATGCCACACTTCTCCTTCCCTGCAGGACATTCTGCATTAGTGACTTGGGACACCTTCCCTGCTATACCATCTCCACCACAGACAGCAAGAGCCCATCTCAAGGGCTAACTAATAAAATGAAAAGCACTATAGAATGTAATACTCTAATTCCCTTTTTTTTGTGCTTCAACTGAGGGATTTATGTGAACAATAACTCCATGTTGTCTCCCAAGTGGAAAACTTTTGTATATGACCTAAACCACACTGCTACATGTATGTGACATATAGTTACTGTGCAATGAAATAGGCTTCAAATCAGAAGCACTTTACATATTTCCTTTGTTTTTTCTTCTCTCTCTCTCTCGTTTTTTGGCAGCAATGAGATTTGAATTCAGGGCCTCATGCTCGCTAGGCAGGCACTTTTACCACTTGGGCCACTCCGCCAGCCTGGCACTGGGGTTTGAACTCAGGGCTTCCTGCTTGCTAGGCAGGCACTCTGCCACTTGAGCCATCCCTTCACCCTCCCCCTCCCTTTTTTAAGATTCAGTCTCTCACCTAGGCTAGCCTCACACTGTTGATCCTCCTGCCCCAGCTTCCTGAGTGCTGGTAATGCAGGTGTGTACCACCGCACCAGCTTTTTATTTCCTTTTATAGGAGTGTTCCTAAGAAAAACCCCGGGTAGAAAGTTCCCTAAATAACAGTGATGGTTCGATCCCAACTTTCAGTACAAAAAAAAAAAATCCCCAAAGAACACCACCAACAAGAGCGAGCATCAGGCACCATGAAAGCACAGCATGAATCACACAAGGCTTTTGTTTTATCAACATGAGCAGACAGCCCTGGGCCTTTGCCAGAAAGTGGAGGAAGCAGTACCGAGGACCCTGCTCTGTTGCACTGCCCGCCTGCAGGGTGGAGCCCTTTGTGTTGTCAGCTTACTAGATTCTCAGGTTAGGGTACCTGTAAGGAGAATCCCTGCGCTTCAAGGTCACCCTGAGAATCACCATTCTGCCTTTCAGCTAGGCTAAACACTGTGAGGCCCTGACTTCAGAGTCTGATTCTGGTAGGCCTGCCTGGACCTTAACTAGCCCTTCACAAGCGATACCAAGTGTTTTCTTCTGGAGGATTTCTACCTCCAACAGACACAGCATCTGCCACAGGCGCTAAGCACAGCACCTGAAAAGTTCTGTCCACATGATGGCTGAGGGCACTGTCCCTGGAGCAGACGTGCATCTTCCACTTCACTCCGTACCAAGTCCTCAGTGTGTTCTAGTGCAGGTGGTTAGTCCTGCGCTCACATGTGGGAAAGCGTGTCAATGGGATGTAACATAAGATCACAGGCCACATTGCCTGGGGCTCTCCTGGAAACCTGACTTATCTGGAGGAAGATGCAGAAGAGACAGGACATCGCCTCCATCTCCTCCTCATTACTTTCAGCCATGAAGCCCCAAGCACCCCATTTGTCAGTGCCCTCAGATGGCTTGGCCATGCAGAGCTGCCTAGCCCTTGTGTGCAATGGCTAGTCAGAGACCCCTATGGTGTCCAGGTGCACCTCTGCCCACCTCTCACCTGATGTTAGCACACAATCGGTACCCCGGGCACCATGCAAAGCAGTGAAGAACCCCTCACGAAGAGCCTCCAGCTTTTTGTCATGGCAAGGGGCCACAACGATGTGGAAAATCTTCTCTGGAGGCACATTCTGTAAAGGAAAACACCTGGGCTTAGGGCTGCAGGGCAGGCCATGACAGCAGCTCAGTCAATCCCTAGAGCACGAGAACACTGTCTAGGGGATGGGCTGCTGTGGATCTGAGCCCCATCTCCAGAGCCTCAGTTTCTGCAGCATGCAGGTTCCTGTCCCTCCTCTGCTGCATGTCTGATGTCTCACTCTGGATGGGGCCAGATTTACCCACAGAATCTAAAGAGCCCAGAGTGTGCTTGAGGAGCTCCCTGGAGGAACTAGGGGAGGAGAGCCCCTTTCTCCTGAGCTCGTACACACAGGGCACAGCAAGTGAGGGCAGGTATGCACCACCAGGCACCTGCAGACTTTCCTGAAGCTGCCTGAGTGACCCTGTCCCAGGCTGCCCCTTCTCCTAGGGCTTTATCATGAGAAGCAGGTACCTAGAGCTGAATGGGAACTGGGAAAAGCCAAGAGCCAGCCATTATCCAGTAACTCTTGTAGTGAGGTCTGGGAAAGGCCCACTCAGGGCAGGGATAGAGCCCACGAGGCAACTTGCCCCAATGCAGCGCTGCCAGGCAGTTAAACAAGAAGTTACCAGACGCCAGGTCTCTGAGGTTCAGTGGTTCCCAGGAGCATTTGTGAGCTCTGGGCCCTGTTTAGGCTCTGGCAGCCTTGAGAAGACAAAGAAAACCTGACCCCCTGCAGGTGGGGGCACAAGGAAGCCAGATGGCTCCAGTGCATTCTTTTGTCCCACCCAACTAAACAAACACCATTGTCACATTGATAATCTGCCAACTGTGGTGACTTTATGAGCAAAGCAGAAGAGAAGAAAATGTTCCCTAGGTTATGCCAGGCACACATGGCTTCTCTAGGCTGGCTTTGAAGGTTTGGAAGATCCTTGCTTTCTTTTGCTATCTTCTCTGGTCACCACAGTGCCCACACATGATTGTTCTCCTGAAGGAGAAAGGACAGTGTAAAGCCTCTGCAGCCAAGTGATCAGGCCTTTTGTGGGGAGCCTTGCCTGGACCCAGGGCTGCCAAAGACCATGGGAAAGAAGAGGGACAGGAGAGGGGCAGGCTGAGGCAGGGGCATGCAGGAGCCCCAGGTGAGGACTCACCCTATCTTGTGGAAGACAGGCTCAAGAAGTAGCTAGTCATGTGATGCACATGGCCTGAGAGGAAGACCAGGGCAGAAGTGAGGTTTGATTCTCTGAGTGACAGCAGCACTGAACCTTCAGGTATGGGCTGTGCTAGGCCTCTTGTGGAAGTTGCCCCAGAAGTATGCTCAGGGGGTGGGCATACTTCCACTCAGGCCAGAATGGGCTCAGGGAAAAAAGACTAAGAAGGGAAGAGATAGCTGGGCACTGGCAGATCACACCTGTAGTCCTAGTTACTTGGGAGGCTGAGATGAGGAGGATCAAGTTTGAGACCAGCCTGGGTAAATAGTTCACAAGCCCCCATCTCCAAAATAACTAGAGGAAAATGAACTAGAGGTGAGGCTCAAGTGATAGAGCATCTGCTTTGCAAGTGCAAAGCCCTGAGTTCAAACCCCTGTCCCATAAAAAAAAAAGGGGGGGGGGTGAGGCAGAGAGATTATGACAAAGAGAAGCAAAGATGGATGTCAACAGGAAAGGCCATGGAGGCTGTGGTCCTAAAGCCATCTCCATCTGGAGTTCACCCGGGACTTAAGTTTGAGGTCGTCTCCTCCCAACCTGAATGCTGTGCTTACCTGCTGTCTAGCGAAGTAATCCTTCACCAGGGAGCCCATCACCTGCTGGGGAGACCTGGCGGTGCACAGGTGGGGTGTGACGGGGCGGCCCAACACCCGCTCAGCATATCGGACCCAACCTGGAGAGAGGGAGGCCATAGGTTAACTCCTACCATGCCCTCCTGCCTTCCTGGGCACTTGAGCTCTTAAGCCTGCCACCCCAGGGTGACACCTTTTCTTCATGCTTCCAGGTGCTTGCAACGCTGTTCTTACCACAAGCAGTGCTCCTCAGCAACTCAGTGGGCAAAGGAATCCAAGATGTGGGGGCACTGTGCAGGCCCTGGGGGGAGGGCACAGAGGGGTACTCTTCAAGGAGCAGGTAGGCAGCAGCCAGTGGTTAAGATGTGAAATCCACCATGCCAGATAAGTGGCCATGGCTCAGTGGGAGGCAGCAGCAGCCACAATGCTCACCAACTTTGCCAAGCTGCTGGTAATCAGCCCAACAGCTGCCCACTTTTCAGAGCAATAAACAGGAGGAATTTAGACTACCAAACAAACTATCAGTTCATGGTGCTTAATTCCCATCACGGACTCCCACCAGCGAGGGCACTGCTGCTGTGGTTTCCAGGGTGGACCTGGGTCAGGGTGGTTAGCTGATCACACAGCTGGCAATTCTACCTGTAGAAGCCAACCTCCCTCCTCCCTCTGGGGTGCAGTCTGGTGAGAGGGCACTGAGTGTTCTAATCAAACCTGAGACCCATGTGTACACCTGAGAGGACAGCAGCATAAGGAACAATGGCCAACAGACAAGCTGCTGCCTGGGAACAGAAGCCACAAAACTGCTCAGATGCCAGCCAATGCAAGAACCCCAACTGAGTGATGGGAATCTCAACCCTTGGATGTCAGCTGTGTGCATGCCCGTGTGCTCAGGAAATGTCTGGAGACACAGAAGCCACTATAGTGGGAATGCTGCAGGGAGGAGGCATCTCCTCAACCCAGCTCCTGTACACTTCAAACCTGCTGGTGTTCAAAAAGGATAGACTATCTTAAAAACAGCATTTGAGCTGGGCACAGTGGCTTCCACCTGTAATCCTGGCTATTCAGAAGGCAGAGATTGGGAGGATGGTGGTTTGAGGCTAGCCTAGGCATAAAGTTAACAAAACCTTCACCTTAACCAATGGCCTGGTGTGGTGGTGCATGCCTGTCACCCTTAGCTACACCAGGAACTGTAAGTAGGATGACTGTGGTCCAGGCCAGCCCGGGTATAAATGTGAAACCCTACCTCAAAAATAACCAACACAAAAAGGAGTAGTAGCTGACCTGCTTTAAAAAAACATTTGGCAGGACCAAGGCCTCCTGCTGGCTGCCCACCCAGGTCTCACAGCACACCCACTATGCCGGATGTCTGGTACAACTACAGGTGACCCTACTGTGCTGAGATGAAGGCTTTGCAGGCCTTGGGCTCTGGGAGGACAGGCAAAACAACATGGGCCTGAGGAGGACAGCATCTGTCCCTGCAGCTGAGGGCCATCCCTGAAAGGTGCAGCTATCTGTCAGTGAGGAACATCCACTGGGGCTCACAAGCACACTACCCACTTGAAGCACATATACAGCTAACAGGCTGGCTTTATACAGGGACACCCAATCAGATTTTTCTTTTTCTTCTGGTACTGGGTTTTGAACTCAGGACCTCATGCTTGCTAGGCAGGTGTTCTGCCACTTGAGCCACTCCACCAGTCCTTTTTCTGTGATGGGTATTTTCACCACAGTGTCTCAGGAACTACTTGCCCAGGCTGGCTTCAAACCGTGATCGTCCTGGTCTCTGCCTCCTGAGTAGCATTACAAGCATGAGCCACTGGTGCCTGGCCTAGGGTCTCATGTTTTTGCTCAGGGCCTGTCTGAACCTCAATCGTCCTACCTATGATCTCCTGAGTAGCTGAGATGACAGGAGTGCTCCACCACACCTGACTTGTTTATTGACATGGGGTCTTGAGAACTTTTTGCTTGAGCAGACCTCAAGCAGTGATCCTCCTAATCTCTACCTCTCATGTAGCTGGGATAATGGGCGTAAGTCACCAGACCTGGCTCTTTGATGAGTTTACCAAGGACCTACCATAGACAGGAACTGGGCCTGGTCAGCCCCAGCTGCCTCCCTGAGTCCTTGTGGCCCTACCCACTTGTGGCTGCAATCAGCATGACAAGAGCACCTACCTCCCACTTGGTGGCTGTGGCACTTTTCCTTTTATAGGACATTCACCCCACTCCTCAGTGGTTCTTAATGACAGAAAGGTATGCCGAGCCAGCAGCCTGGCTCCAGGCACTATCCAGGGGTCAGAGATTACATCCCATGATTCTGTACCCAGTGCTCTTGACAGGGGCAGAAGACAACTGTGGTACTCTCAGAGCCCCAGAGGCCTGAGAGCTGTGTCTAGAAGCTGAATATTTCCCTTCCCCTGCTAGGCACTAGGCAAAGGGAAGCCTGGCAGGGGAACACACACAGGTCTGTGGGAACGAGGAGCTGAGCAAGCTGACTCCAGGCAGCACATGCTGCCCTCATGAGCCCTGAGGAAGCTGCTGCAGCTTGCTAATCATGCCCTCGGGATGGGGGACTCTGGCTGTCTGGCTGTCAGGGGTCTAAGTCAGGAATTCTTTTTTAGGAAAAAGAATTGGGCCACTGGAGGCCCAAGTCTAAGTGCCAGGTGAAGGGCTGGGGTGTAGCTAAAACAGTAAAGTGCCTGTCTAGCAAGCACGAGGCCCTGAGTTCAAATCCCAATACTGACAGGAAAAAAACCAACAACAAAAAACTAAGTGAAGCAGCTGACCTTGGCACTGCTTGTTTCCTTAACTGTCAGCAACAAATCATAGGAAAGCTTTAGTGCTCATGAATTCAGCTCCCCGATTTGGAGGGTGGCAACCTAACCCAGGGTTATGGCTGTGACCCACTGAGGAAAGCATATCAATAACTAGAAAGAACATTCTAGAAGTTCCAAACCAACCAGAAACAACACGAACAACTGGGACTGTGAAACACAGATCTCACAATAGGGCAGTGGGCAATGAGCTGGTGCAGCAGGTAAAGGCACCAGGCCCCAGGAGATGGGACACCAAGAGGCCTGGGTCCCACTCAGTACTGTCTGCACCACGGCAGAGGGCTCCCTGGCTTTTACGCTATTCACAGTCTGTGAACTTCACCCACCAGCACTGTTGGTTCTTTGCAGTGAGTTGAAGGTTTCGTTCTAGGTTCCATCCAGACAGGGCCTGCACATAAGGAATCACCAATGTCTGTCGCTTTGGGGTCAGTGGAGAACAGGAATTCCTGTTCTGCCCTGCTGCTGGGAAGCATGGGTAGAAAGTTTGGAAAGCCAGTTCCAGGAACACAGGTCTCAGATCTGGGTCATTTTACACTGCTTCGTCCTCCCATGAGGAGCAGTACTGACCAACACAGACTGGTCCTGAGAAGCCACGCTGCACAGGGCATTGTGTGATGGGCCCCAAAAGGCAGACACTCAGAGGAAGGTGGGTCAACACACGAGCACCCAGTACCTCTGCAGGCCACTCCAGAAGCCAAGAGTAGGTACCGGCCCTCAGCTACAGATTAGCTCTTTATACCTGCAAACACTTGGAAGAACAGAGCTGAACTGATACCCAGAATCCAGCAAAGTCCTATTCTCACGCACGCACGCGCACACGCACACATACACACACTTGTTTTTAGAGACAGGGTCTTGCCACGAGGGCTGGAACTCCTGGTCTCAAGTGCTCCTACTGCTTCAGCCTCCTGAGTTTTTGGGACCACGGCACACATCACTGCACCTGGCTTAGACTTTTGATACAGAAATTTGTGAATTGCTGCCTAGGACAAACCATGCACCTGAAACTTGCCATTAATCCCACACACCCAAGGCAGTCCAGAATCATGGTGATGATCTAATCCCTACTGAGTTATGAAGAGGAAACTTAACTTGGCTAACAAGTCAACCAAGGCAGCCTCTTCGGGAGATGGTGAATTTTCTCTTTATGGGTTTTTTTTTTCCCTGTACTGGGATTTGAACTCAGGGCCTTCCCCTAAGCCACTCCACCAGGCTTTTTTGTGTAGGGTTTTCTCGAGATAGGGTCTCGCAAACTATTTCCCCGGGCTGGCTTTGAACTGTGATCCTCCTGATCTCTACCTGCTGAGTAGTTAGGATTACAGGCATGAGTCACCAACACCCGGTTCTCTTTATGGCTTTACAGAAGGGTAGAAAGAATTTCTAAATTCTAAGCAGCCATAATGTCATCATTTTATTTTTTCTGGTATTGGGGTTTGAACTCAGGGCTTCGTGCTTGCTAGGCAGATGCTCTACCATTTGAGCCTCCAGTCACTGACTTGTTTTGTTAAACCATGATCCTAATGATTAAAAGTTGATGACATGTATAGTGTTAGCAAATTTTGGAACCATGATGAGGGTAGTGCTCTGAAAACAGAAGCATGAACCAAACTCTAGAAACTACACAGCCTACAACTAGCCCACAGTGTGGCTCTCCTGTGCTCTCACAGACCTCACGTCCTGACGCATATAATCTGACTAAATGTTGTTTGTCAGTATAGTAATTCCTTCTTCCTACCCTAATGCATCAAAAATTCCTTACCCCAAACCTTCCATTTTTCCAGAATTGAAGTCTACGATAAGTCTTTTCTACTCTTTCTATGATATGAATGTTCCCACCAACACTAATGTTAAAATCTAATCCCTACTGAGTTATGAAGAGGGAACTTAATCCCTCTGGTGGAAGGTTATTAAGGCTGAATGAGACCATAAAGGTGGGCACCTTATCCAAGGGGTCTGTGTTGTTATTTGAGACAGGTCTCACTGTGTAGCTCACGCTGGACTAGAACTCTCCATCCTCCTATCTCAGCTGCCCCAGACCTGGAATTACAGGCATATGCCACCACACTAGGCTGGGTCTGTGGCCTTATAAGAAGAGGTGAGGCCTGAGCTAAGATTCTGTGTCTGGCCAAGTGAGGACCTCCCAGATGCAGCCACACCACCTTGAGCTTCTCAGCCTTCAGAACTATGAGCCAATGAAACCTTTATTGCTTGTAAATTACTTGGTTGCCCACACTCAGACTACTGCAACAGAAAAAGGACTAAGACAATATCTCAGGCACTAAACCTAATTAAAGACAGTTTGTTTAAAAAATGTTCCCTATGCAGGTATGGCTCAAGTGGTAGAGCACCTGCTTTGCAAACTGTGATTACAGATATACACCACCATGCCTAGCTTGTCTGCTGAGATGAGGTCTTAGTAACTTTTTGCCCAAGCTAGCCTCAAACCAAGAATCTCCTGATCTGTACCTCTTGAGTAGCTGAGGTTACAGGATTATAGGCAGGAATTACCATACCTGGCCTAAAATACTTATTTTTATTAAAACACAGTATCTCTGTCCAGAAGCTAGAAATATGAGCCAAGTGCCATCTATAATCCTAGCTACTTGAGAGGCAGCCTGGGCAAATAGTTCACCAGACCTACATTGAAAATACCGAATACAAAAATGACTGGTGGAATGGCTCAAGTGGCTCAGGTTGCCTAGCATGTGTGAGGCCCTGAATTCAAGCCCCAGTGCTGCCAAAAAAAAGAAAAAAAAACCAAAAACCTAGAAATATGTATAAATGAAAATAAAAAATTAAGGGCTGGGGACATAGTTCAGTAACACAGTGCTTACCCAGTGGAAGGCCCTAGGTTCCAGGCCCAGCACCACACAAAACCAAAACCAAAAAACACTCAGTTAGGTAGTTTATGAATGCATTAGCTGACAATAAACTCTGCATCAGGCCAGTTGGAAGGGCCCACCCCGCCTCCAGCCTCATCCAGGGCCCATGCCTGCCCCCATAGCTCGTGAAGGCTCAGCAGGCCAGAGTCCAGTGGTCCTGGGCTTACCAGGACAGGCAGAGGTCAGCATGGGCAGGGCTCGCTGCTCCTCACTGTGCTGGTGATACCGCCGCACAAACTCCTTCTGACTTTCCAGGATGCTGAAATCTGCAGCTATCGTCATGTCAAACACATAGTGCACCCCTGCAGGGAAGGGGCACACAGTTCTTAGCACAAGCACGGGTCACTCTAGGCTCCAGTTCTCACATTTGAGACAAGCAGAGCACAAGCACCATGGCCTGCCTCACCTGAGCTACCTCAGTCCTGGCCCTTTCTGATGGCAGGGTTTAGACAGTAGATTTACTTCTCATATATATTTATTTTAACTAAAACATTTTTAAAAACAGCTTTATTATGAATACTTGGATACCAGACAACTCACCATGTAAAGTGTGCAAAAGAATGATGGTGCTAATTTTAAAGATTGTTGAAATGTAGACATATGATAAGATTTGCCACCTTACTCATTTTTTGACTTTTTCATTGTTTTTCTTTTGTCATTTCTAATGGATATTTCAGTTGCTTTAACCACATTCATAATATCTTGTAACCATCACCACCATCTGTCTATTTCCAAAGTTTTCCATTACCCCAAATGGAAACTCTTGCACCAGTTTAACAATAGCTCCTCCCCTAAAAGGACTTGTGAATCTACCCTTATTACTACCTTGAGGTGTATGTTATACCTCTCAGGAAGATTTTTCTACATCTGTTCTTTCAGGGAGAGTCTCTTTTGGAGAAGTCATAGTGTTCAATACAGATCAAGTCCCTCAGGAAGCAGCCACTCACTGTTTTTTTAAACAATAAGCACGTGCCATTGTCACAGCACAACATGTATTTTCTCTCTTGCTGCTTCTCTTTCTCCACATCTATACTAGCACAGTCACTTTACAGTGCTCCCTATGAGTTAACAGCCATTAAAAGGTATGCAACAGCACTCCTCCAATTCACTGGCAAATGACATTTCAGTCTGTGATGGTCCTTGTTATCTTTAAAATAAAAGAGTACAAAAGAATGGGTAAGGGAGTTGGGAATTTAGCTTAGTGACAGAACCTTGCCTAGCAAGCATTGAGACCTGGGTTCAATCCCCAGCAGTCAAAAAATCAGGTAAGTACACTTTTATGATGGTCTCAGTTTTTTTTTTTTTTTTTGCAGTACTGTGGCTTGAACTCAGGGCCTACACCTTGAGCCACTCCACCAGCCCTGTTTTGTAAAGGATTTTTCTGGAGATAGGGTCTCTCGAACTATTTGCTTGGCCTGGCTTGGAACCTTGATTCTCCTGATCTCTGCCTCCTGAGTAGCTAGGATTATAGGAGTGAGCTACCAGCACCCAGCAGTAGTTTCAATTTTTATGTTGCTTTTTAACTAGCTATCTTTTCCTAAGTATAATTTTTTAAATATTGGTAAGTAGCCCAAGACAAATGTACTTTCAATAACCATAATAAATTAAGTGGGGGGTGGGGTGGGGTGGGGTGGAGTGGCTCAAGTGGTAGAGCATCTACCTAGCAAGTGTGAGGCCTGGAGTTCAAACCCCAGTACAGCCAAAAAAATAAATAAATAAAAGCAAATAAATAAATTAATAACTTTAATATCCACAGCTAATCTAAAACTTAAAAGCAGTCACTTTTAAAAATAAATATCACAAATTTTAAAGCACTAAAGAAGAAAT